TGAAAGTAGGATAAGGTTTGAAACAAATATCTCTAAAATCAATTTTGTTTTATACTTGGAAGATCAATCATAGAAGTTATTTATTTATTAAGATAATTAACGAAAAAGTATAGGGAGAAAAAAAAAAGATTTGCATATGAATTTTATTAACTCAAAGAAAACCTATGATAGGGTTCCTAACGATTTATTATGGTGGGTTTCAGAAAAGAACGGTGTATCCACTAATTATATTGATGTTATTAAAGATATATATGATACTATAGTTACTAGTGTCAAAACTATAGGGGGAGTGTTTAGGGAGTTTCCTATTAGCATAGGATTACTTCAAGGATCTGCATCAAGTCCCTATTTTTTCACATTGATAATGGAAGAACTAATTAGTCACCTACAAGATAGACCTCCTTGATGTATATTATTTGCTGATGATATTGTCTTAATTGATGAGATCCTATTTGAAATTAATTATAAACTTGATCTATGAAGACAAACTTTAGAAAGTAAAGGTTTTAGATTATATAGGACTAAAACTGAATATATAAAATATAATTTTAGTGCTTCTAGAAATAGATAAGAGAATATAGTTAAATTAGATGGACTTGAATTCCCTTTAAGTAAAAGCTTTAAGGATCAATTATTCAATAAGATGGAGAGATTGATAAAGATATTATTTATAAAGTAAAAACAGGATGATTAAAATGGTGAGGGGTGTAAGGAGTCTTGTGTGATCATCAGATACCTTTAAGATTAAAAGAAAATTTTTATAAGATAGTTGTGAGACCAACAATGCTTTATAGATATGAGTATTAGGCAGTCAAGAATGTTGAGATAAATGTGTGGAGTTACTAGAAAATATAGAAAAAAATATTTTTATTCGTGAATAACTATGCATAAAAAATGTTTGTCAGAGGATAAGATGAGAGAAAGTCGTTTAAAATGATGTGAGCATGTACTTAAGAGACATTTGGATATGGTTGTCAAAAGAGATGAAATAATTAATGTTAGTGGTGCAAAAATTTTTACATATAAATTTTTACATATCTCAATGACAACAAAAGATTCATGTAGCTGATCCCAAATAGTTGGGACTTACAGCTTTGATGTTGTTGTTGTTCTTGGAACTGTTAGTTCATTGTTGCTTATCTAACTATGGTTATTGTATAATTTGTTGTATGGTATTCTCTCCTTTAAACCAAATAAATGTGAATGACCATGCAACAATTCTTTTAAATGAACTGGCAGGCAATGCCCCAGCAACTCAAACTGGAACCATACGCTGTGCATACTACCTTCCAGTATTCAGGTTCTGATGGAAAGCGCCATAGATTACGTGAGGCTATGCTTTTCTATGACCAACCTGCATATTACGATACACCAGGTATTCTTTCTTCTCATCTCATGTGGTAAAATTCAACTTTTTCATACTAAGCTAAATGTCTTTGCTGGTTGACAACTTTTTTTTTGTACTTGACTTTTACTGCACAATTCAAAAGTGAGTTGTAATATTGATAGGTAATAAGTGAAAAATATTTCCCCAAATACTGAAAACCAGGACTAGTGCTATGTGATTTTTGAGATGCTAGGCTGTGTTGAGTGCTTTAATTTTTGAGAATTTATCTACTGAAAAGCTTACATAAGCTATAGATTCATGTGGAGTATGCAAGGAATACAATACCGTGTATCGGACCCCGACAGTCCAAGTCTCGATCTGAATTGGTTTGGTTTGTACCAGCATACAGGGCCTAGACTAGTATGACTCTTGTTGTATCAGTGTATCAATACATGTTATGTTGGCGTGTACCATGATACTAGAAAAGTACTAAAAAATCTGAGAAAAATAAAAGAAATCTTAATTTAGGGTTCTTTCTCACATATAAATGAGCCTAGTATAATCAATATTGATAACAATGAAGTGATCTTAATATAGAATACAATAAAAATACCAAATAGAAACATATATCGAATAAAAATTGAAAGTAGTATGTATTCTAGGTGACAAAGAAATTCTAACTAACATGTAAACACAATAATTAGATGTAAAATGCCAAAAATATGTACCTGTACCTACCACAAATATGCGAAAAAATTATGATATTCATGTATTTGGATGGTGTTCATTTTGGAAAGTTCAGTAATACCCAATCTTTGGTATGACTGTATTTAGTTGAGGTCTGGAGCAAGAACTAGAGCATTGCAACCAACAAAATGTTGGTAGAAAATTCAGCACACCCTACACATTCCAGAGTCTAGTGTCTATCTCATCAGGCTTGCTTGCTCGGTTACTGGACTCTTATGTTTAATTATTCCAAAAACTATGTTATGTTGTCATGCTTTGTTATCCTTCTGACTCGGTTTGTGTCTTTGCAGGAGGTTTCTTATCATTCAAACCTGGTATTCCTAAGAGTTTGTTGCTGGATGGGCCACATACCGTACAATCACACTTCTCATTGGTTAATTACCAGGTAAGATAATATTATAAAATGTTTGCATTTCTTATTGAGATTTGGAGAGATGTCCAAGGAATGAGCTGGTCAAGTGACATTCTTATTTGCATGTTTCAGTTGAGGCAGATAAGAACTGCACTTGCTGTTGCTTCTCTGTTGAACCGAACACTGGTGAGTGAGGTTTCACCAATTAAAAAATTAAACTTGACCTGCTGAGATTTTGTAAAAGATATCTTATATGCATAGTTTAAACTTTAAAGGGATCTTTTTCCTTGATATTCTGGTATGGTGATTTTTGAAATAAATAGCTTCAGAAGATAGGATCTTTCGAAGATCCCTTCTCTTTTCACAAATTGTGCACTTTTGAAAACAATGTATGTACATGTCGGCAAAACTTTTTGTCCATGCAGATACTGATAAACATTTCATTAAATTGTGCAATTAATTTATCATCTAATTAAATTCCAAATGGCCATTGAGCTGAGAACCATTTACTTCTCAAAATCCTTATTTTTAAGGAGCTTATTATTCATTAGTTGTTGGTTGAGAATTGTAATGTTAATGGGTGTTGCTTTAACTAAAATTCATGGAGTATCAGATAATTGATTTTTGTGTCTAATTTTTTAGATTCTGATTCCATCATCTAAATGATGGAAGGTCAACTTTGTTCTCATCACACAATGAGCGTAGTCTTCTGCAGTATGCAATACGAGGCTTGTTATACATTAGCAACATAAAACACAGAATTGACACATTAACAGTTGACAGGACATTGTTGTGAAATTATTATTCAACGAGCTTGCCTGCTGTGGTTGCAATAATTCTGACTCATATTCCTTGTCTATGTTTAGGTAATGCCTCGATTATGGTGCAGGTTTGACAGATTGTGGTATTTGCATCATGGAATTTTGATAGGGACACTGACCAAGCAACCTTTTGTATGCCCTATGGACCACTTGTTTGAGGTAATTAGATTTGTTTGATTAGTGTGCACTCTCTTGCTAGTTTTCTAAAAATTATCCATGAATGGGCATTTTCCTTCATTATCTTTTCTTGCCATTTACTTGCTAACTTGGATCATAAAATTATGGGTTTTATTTGCTCTTTTCCATTGAGTTTAAAATTCCAAAGGATCAGCAAAATGGTAGGTCATTTGGGACGAACCTTATCTTTGTATGAAAGCTCGCCCTCAAATAGCGCATATGCCCGGACTTTAACTATGAGGACAAAGTTTTAGCATGAGTTGTGTTCTTACAAATAGATCAAAGTTAATTTTCTTGCATCTTCAATTTTAAGATGATTGTTTAGGTGGTCTGAATTATTTTATCTTGTTGCTCTTGGCTTCCTTGAATTATTTGTACCTGCACATTCTCCATTAGACTGCATTGATTTGGTTATTAAAATTCTCGGAACAATGAGGGATCTTCCTGCTCATTCATGATGTATGGAATCAGATTTTCCCTGCTGATGAATCACTATGGTTTGGGGGAATGGACTAATTTCCATTTTGCTAGTTTTCGAAGTTTATGGCTATATGCTTTTAGCCTTTAATCCTGTAAACTTAATTTCCATAGTGTTCCATTTTGCCACTTGCCATGCACAGTTTTATCTAGGAATTCCAATGATCTTGAACAAGGTTTTCAATTTTGGGTATTGGGTCCATGCTAGTCTATGGACAGATTGGTACAAGTCTGGTCTCTTCCGATGTATTGCCACTTGGAATGTCATTCTATGGGGGGAAGGAGGGGGAGGAGGAAGGAAGTGGTAGGGAGCATGGTTCGTCATACCGTGACGTACTGCCCGATATGGGCGGTACATGCCAGTCTGATATAGGACCGGTATAGGTGGTACATACCGGTCTATTTGCATGTTCCACCGTACCGTGTATCGATACATTGGTATATATTATCGATTGCCGATCGATATATCGGTACAAATCGAGAAGTCGAACCATACTAGAGAGAATAAGAAGGAAGAGGATGTCACAGGAAGAGGTAGTCCATTGAAGAGGAGGAGACATCAAGGATGAGATGGGTGATAGGGCAGTTGCGAAAGACAGCAGAGAGACACTCGCGAGTTGTGAGCCATTACGCATCGGGCAATGGTGTTTAAATGAAAATAAGCCACTTAAATAAGAAAATAAACAGAGGACACCACCCTATTTTGGGTGTTCAGCATCCCTGTTCAAGCACAGACTAGTCAATACTGTCCGAAATTTATGGTAAAAGATTAAGTACAAATGTTTTGGTAAATAACATTCAGTTTGGACCGAGCCATAGGAAATTAAATTCCCTGATGCAAGTACAAATGGGAACAAAAGATGGTGTAAGAGGAATGAGGAATTTGAACTCTCAACAGATGAAGTAGTATGGGCAGATGAAAAGATGTGGTGGGATGGAAGATATGCAATATCCAAGTGCTCTAACAGCCAAGGAACTAAAAGTTGGATACCTGCCTTGTGTCATTATCCACTTGGTACAGTAGTATGAGCTGAAGTGTTGGTACACCAGAATAAGGTACTACACATTTTGTAAAATTAAGCAGTTGGCCTGATATGGTACACTTTGTAAGGATATGGTGATATTTGGATCCATACAGAAAATTGATTGACCAATCACTGAGATAGTTTAAACAATTCCTTATTCTAAAAAATTAGAGATCTTTTTTTAATAAATGACTGGGTGTTCATCTGATCTGGCAATTGATTGAATAAACTTTAGTCTGGTCATATAGAGAACAAGAATTGTCCTATCTTGACTATTTGGTGAATCACTCAAGCAAATTAAAATTTTCTACTCGAATTTTTTGAAATTAAGTCTATCAGACTATCAAACATGGTTCTTTCCTTGGTTGTCATATTTCTTACTTTTGAGAGTTGAAACAATATGTATTCATAATACCAAATATGACCTTGGCAACATTAGATGAGAAGATCAAGTATGTTTGACAATCATCAACAAGTACGATAGATGAGCTTTAGTCTCCTTAATTCGTGTTTTCTGTAAGTGGACATTGAAATGAGTGCTCGCAGAGTAGGAGGATGGTGTTGAGAGAGAAAAGACAAATAATAATTAATTAAGGTCAGAATATGATAGTGGTAATATTGTTTAATGTGGCTTGTATCAGTTTAAAAATAACTTAGATTAGAGAGGGGCAAGTTGGAATAAGGGTGAGTCTGAGTATGGAAATAAGATTGCACCGGTGACATGGAAGACCAGGTTCAAGTTATAAGAAAATACCTCTTTAGATCTAGGGATTAGGTTGCATACATTAACTCTTTTCAAACCCTGCATTAGCAGAAGCCTTGTGCACCGGTTTTTTTGGAATACTAGAAAGCAAGTAGAGGGGCAAGAGTAGCCTTGATCGGAAGTAAGGGCATATTGTTCTTCAATTAAAATTTGAACATACACATTATTTCAAGAGCATCTTCTTTTACATTTGCATTTGTTCTATACTGTGGGCCTGCCAAGAGTTGAATCATGATGAGCTTTCCTGTTACAGAAGGGATAGAGGTAGTTGGTCTACTAAATGCCATACTCCATAATTCCAGTAATTAGAAATTACTTTCTTGATGTTATTCCCAAGCAGAACTGATCCTTAGCATTGAAATTGAAATATTAATATGCATTTACTTTGCTACAATTAAATTCTAAGAAAACCTATGTTGACTAAATCTCCTTCAATTGCTCTAATATTGCAGGTAGGTCTCTTAGTCCATGTGGAAACTGGAAATTATCTTATAAAATTTCATTTGCCATGACTTTGCAGTTTGTCATATCATTTTTAACTCACCAGTTCAAATTAAGTTGATTGCACATGCTCAACTTATTGATCGTGTACTAAATTTTCCCAAAACATTTCATCCATTCTCCTTCAACCAATAGATTCTTACAAGGTTCGCCGTACCGTACCGTACCGTACCGTACCGTACCGACGTTTCGACCCGGGCTCGGTACCGGTACGGTACGGTATACCGCTCGGTACACCCAGGTGTACCGAGCACTGTAGCAGCACTACAGTGCACTGCTACAGTGCTCGGTACGGGCGGACCGGTACAGGGAGGTCCGCGTACCGCTAGCCTGTCGGACCGGTACGTACCGCCCGTACCGGGCGGTACAGTCCGGTACGGCAAACCTTGGATTCTTATACCAATTTCTGTTCGTTCTTTGATCATAGAGTGTGGTTTTATCTTCTTTAGATTCGACAAAATAGGTATTCTCTAATCTCTAAGCTTTATCTATTTTTATATTGCTTTTGCACTTGGATAATTTCTTCTTTGCATTTGGTAACAAAGAATATACTGCTCGATATACTAGTACCGTAGTGGTCTGATCAAATGTTGAAACTTGTATTGGACCAGCATTTAAAATCTTGATACCGTCCATAGCAACAAAGAGGAGATCCATTGGCAATCCCATCTATAATAGTTGGGAATAAAGTTTCTTTACTCTTTGTTGTCATTATTAATTAGTTATTTTAAAAGGACAGTCTTTTGCAGTCTGAATGGAAGTATATGCTTGATTATATTTACAGCATCTCACTGCTTGTTTTTTTCTACTTGCACTACATGTAAACTGTTTTTGCATGTTATAATTGTTATGCCTGCTGCCACATTTTTTATCATCTAATTAGAGTTGATTCACCCTTGCAGATTCCTACCATGCTCCGTGGTCTTTCTGAAGAAGTATTTGGCCCACAAATTCATTTCAGGGAGTACTCATTCCTGCAGAATCCATCAGTGCCCAAACATGTAAAGCTATTGTTGTATCAGTTTGCAATACTTAGCTGCTCATACATATCTTTCAATTCAAATAACTTTTTTTATTATGGATTCAGGTGAAGGAATCATTACTTAATGTTCACCTTTGTGATGCACATTCTGAAGAATGCAATATATCCAATGAAACAAGTAGCCATGGTTTCATCCAATTTCCTAGAAATAGCACTGAACAGATGGTACGTTCGTCTAATGATTAAATTTTGATTCTGTAAGGGTTTAAGATCATAATAATGGTGGTAGGATGAGATTGTCTATTCATTTGGTGTGAGCACATTTTCTAATGGTATCAACTAAGCAAAGTTCAGTGACAAAGCAGACCACTCAGTATTCTAGTCTTCGAACTTTAAACCTTAAGACTTTCCATTGTTCATTTTCTCTGTGTTCTTTGAAGGCCTCTTCATACAATGCAAGAAAACAGAGCAAAGATCCGGCTTCTCCTTACAAGCTCTAGAAACATATATTTGTGTTTTAACGGACTTTGTTACTTTTTTGTCTTATAGTTTTTTAATCAGAGAGTCATGACACATGAATCTGATTATTTTATATTTTTTTCCATGAAACAGGTAGATACTTGAAGTTTTTATTAATGTACTCTAAAAGAGTTCAGAAGCTTTACTAAATAGTTTGCCAATTTGTCTTACAGTACATGCAAGTATTCTCCCAGTACAAAGATATCAAAGTCTTGCACTTTTCATCCATGACGAATGCCTTCCAAGGGTTCAGTGATCAGGTAAGCATTATCATACCTTTTTTTATTGGTGGCTAAAAATTGTTTCTCTATATCTCTATTTTGATCTAGATGATATCGTGATGAGTTGATTTAGGCAAGAGAAGCAAAATTTAGAAGTCGTGTGAAGAGATACGTCGGAAATTGGTGCTGCATGAAGAATCATAACCCTGGCCACATATACTATGACATGTACTGGGATGAAAAACCAGGATGGAAACCTAAACCACCTCGAACTAGACATGATGATCATCCACCTTGGTAAACAGATTGAAATATTATTTTTGCTTCTCATGAAAGATCATCATCATGTCTACGACTTTAGAAAAACCTCTTGAAAGTGTTGCCATCGCATAAATGAAAATTTTCTGATATATTTTCTTTCTCAAAAGTTTCTCCTTTGTACGGAATAAAATTTCATAGGTTCAGTTCCCTAGGGGAACAATTTTGAGTGTGCATCATTGTGTTTTTATTTATTTGTTCTCTCTCAAAGAAGTTGACAACTCGGTGTGGTACTTTTGGAACGATGTCTATATTTTAGACAGGATGTTTTCAACATCCTATGTTTTCTCTCTCTCTCTCTTCCTCACTCATTCTCTAGAGCCGATTTTTAACAATGTTAGATGGATTCATGTAAATGATATTGTGTCTAAGAAGAGAGATCTCTTTAGATCTTCATCAATCTTATCTAACACATTTTTGAGTCATTATTATTATTATTATTATTTATTTTTTAATATCTTAATTTTTTGTTAAAAAAATCAATGTGTTGATTGTCGTTTTATTTCTTAATAGAAGTTTAATTTTTTTAAGAAAAAAAAGTCCTCCTTTTAGTACGGGAGTAGAAGGGCTCCCTAATTTAGCAGATCAATGCTCTAATACTGAGTCCTGATAATGATCCGATTCATCCAACTCCTATCACCGGAAGGGCTTATTATATGTTTTCTCCGAAGTCGAATTCGAGTCATCTCGCAGCGTAAGACACGACTCGAGTCGGGACAGTAAAGCAGCGACTCGAATTCACGTCTCTCGTCTCTCGTCTCTCGTCTCTCGTGCCTTCCCTTCCTTTGTATCTGAACGATCATATGGCGAGTGCCGTCGCCTGCCGCTCTCCGTCGCACTTCGTTCCCCCTCACCCCGAATCCGATCCGTCTATTCCGCGCGACGGTTCAGCCCCGGTCTGGGTCTAGGTCGCAGTCTGAGATGGAGGAGGCGTCAACTACACCTTCGGCCCGTACAAGATCCACCGTACCGAGGTCTTCCACTCCACCGTGCACTCCTTTGCCACGGTCAACCTGCGGCCTCTCCTACCGGGTATGCCTTCCGTTGATTCCCATTCTCTCTCATATTATTTTGGATTGTTGCTACTTATGAAATATTAGGGTTATTGGTCACAATTGTGGGTGTAGATTTCGATAGGTTGTTTAGAGTAATTTTGGATGGATATCTATTGATGCTTCTGCTTATGCTGAGTTTGGAGAGATACATGATTACCGTTACTATTATCTTCCTTTATTGTATTGTTTTTTGTATGGTTGACGGTCAATGTGAGGGCTAGCTTAAGCTCTTATGTTGTGTTACTCGCTCTTTTCTTTGTCTTAGCAATGTAGGATTACTTTTAGCCCTATCTCAATCTCTATCTCAAACATGACTTTTTTTGATTAACAATCTTCCACTTTTATGTGTTGCTATATCAGGTTTGGTTATTTCCCCTTCTATTTTCAATTTTTGATTTTAAATCTTGATCTTTTCTGGATCTTTGATCCTGGTAGGGTCCATCGACCTAGTCGAACTTTACTCTACTCATCTGGATGTTGATAATTTTAAAGGAATTCAAGTTTGAGTGGGACTATCTTAAGGCTACCGTACATGGTGGTTGGACACCAATACAACCTAAAAACTTAAGTATATGACAATATGTGTAGCTGATTCTTCTTTATCACTTGGCACTTTGGGACTTTTCTAAATGCTATCTCAATCTTAATCTGTATTATCTTGTCTTGTAATAATTAAATCCATGATCATTCCTAGGTCCCATGGTTGTCCTGTTCATTCATAGGTTGCGTTGTTGTTTCCTGTACTCAATTTCAATCTATAAAATTGCATCATTGGACTAATTTCTCATGGTCTTTATAACCCTTCCTACACTACACATTCCCCTTTGCCTTTCGCCCTTGTCCTTTTATAGCCATGAGATTCTACTTTTGGACTTACCAAGAATGCTTAGCTTAGGAATGCAAAAGCAAGTGCATTCTTTATAATACCAAAATTGGAACTTGCTTTGTCCGGTATAATGCAAGTTTCTTTCCTCTTAGTATCACCTTTTATCTTTAACAGTTCCAATATTGTATGTTCTTCATCTTTAAATGCTAAGAGAACTGCCAAAGGATACTTGAGAGTGGGACTTCTATCTTTCCCAAATTTCTTAGGTGACTTCATTTACACAAAAGCAGCTATTGATGATTGGATCCAGGTTATAAAATGATGCATCATAAAGAGGGGCATTCTACTGAGAAAGTCTCTACTGCATGCATGAAAAGCTTATGGTAGACATTGTTACATATATAATCTCCAATAAATAGGGTGGATGTAGATGACATGAATTTGTATCACTGCATGAAGGAATTTTTGGGACAAGAACACTTTGAATTGCTTGCATTTTTGAACCTGTCACACACAAGGCATTTCTCCAATTGATGATTGTTTGAGATAAGGATTTTAATTTCGAATAATACCACTTGTACTGGGCAGTACATATCGATCGACTAGCAAATCGGTACGCGGACCATCTACTATCGGACGGTATCAGCTTGGATGCGGTGAGGGAAGAAGAAGCGTCGTGGGAGAAGAGGAAGAATCGAGAGAACCTCGACGCTTTCTGATACGACGTCACCCACCCTCAACAATCTCGATCCAGAAGGTAACGGAGAGGTGGTGGCTCGGCTTCTTCATTGCATCCTTCACTGAAGGCCAGAGGCGTCTACGACCTTCGACACCTTCGCCAAATGTCACAGATGAGGAGAATTCTTCTTCTCGTCTGATGTGATGAGGAGAAGAAAAGGAGACTACGTCGCTGAGGCAACATATGCCTCCTTTTATATATATATATATATATATATATATATATATATATATATATATATATATACACACGTACTGAGCGGTACACGCTAGCATACCGTTTAGTATGTCTATACTGCACCGTACCAAACAAAGCTCGAAATATTGATACGATACGAAATTACGAACTTTGGTTTGAGAGGTTTCATGTAAAAATTAAGTATGAACATACAATCTGATATAACCAAAATTTTAAGTAAATAATAACTTTAGTGCCTTTGCTCAGTTGAGCTTAGGAAAGGTTAGTGACTGCCACGTGAATCGTATGTTACACTTAATCCTCGGACCGTTAGTTTATTGTTGTAGGTTGATTATGCTTATACCAAAAATGTTTTGTGAAAAACAAATGCTTTGTGGTACTAGCTTCTCTAACTTGAAGTGCTTTATCACATGTTTATTAATACTGTCTTTGAATGAAGCATATCGATCTGATCAATTTGATCAGTTAACCATAATTATTGTTTAACGTTAAAGTCTTTTTCCCTGTAAAAGGGTAGGTCTAAGTATCACATTCATTGTATAGCAAAGTATTTACCTTCCATTCATGGGCATACAAAGCAAATTGTGAGACTCTATTGTATAACTATCTCTTTTATTAAAGCTTTGCTGCCATCTTCCCTCATCTCTGTTGATTGCTACATAGATCTAATATACCTTTTCTAAAATTTTGCAGGTCATATCCTTTCGACAAAGGCACTAATTCATCTTATTGATATCATTTTACTTGATGATATATGCATGCAATGTTCAGTTCCTCTGTTGTGCATCTATGTTAAAATGCACAGATCTCTTTGGTGGCATCTTTCTCTCTATTCACTTCATTTGTACACTTTTTATTTTGCATGCATAATTTCGCCATAAGTTGAACCTTGACATTATCTACATGTGCTTGTATGTATAAGGCGGGAAGTAAAATGTTTTATTGATCTCACTGCTGATGTGGTTTGTGACTTATGGCCTACTGCCAAGGAAGTCGGTGGTTGTCTTGAGCGTCATCATGAAGCATCTTCACTGACATTTGCTATTCAAGTAAGATTATTAGAATTTATTTTGGTCACTGTTTTATGTTATGTAATTTCACTATATCTAATTAATGAATGATTCAATTATTGCTACCTGCCTTTATTTTTTTGTAGAATAATCTCAAGAATATAGTGCTGTGTGGATAATCTCTTCACTGGTTGATTTAATCTGTCTTTGGTTGAAGATCCCAATGATTAACCTGTTTTGAGTAGCTGTGCATAGGTGATCAAGTTCTGGCATGCTTAGCTTGATTACCATGTCAGCAACCCGATTTGACCTTTTTGAATGATATGGTTATGGTTAATTCATCAACCACTACATGATTGTTTCATTACTTCTAGTTGGATTGTCGAATGGTTCAATTCTATTTAAGTTCAGGTTCTTATATTTGAAACTGATGTGCTTGTTGGTAGGGTTGAATGGGTTGATCTGTGGTATCTTAAACTTTTGAACCTGGTGAACCCTATCCCACCAATTTCATTCTGAGCTTGAGAGTCCGGTTCATGGGTCATGTTACTGTTTAGCATCGAGTCAAAAGTTGCTCTTGGCCTCAGCACCTGTCTTGTACGAAGAACAAGATTGCAATGGAACCCTCAGCATCTTAGAGAAAAGTACCTTCAATTAGCCTTGCTGAAGACTGACCTGTCTTTGTGAAATGCATGAGGCATTGAAATTTGAGTTTTTCATATGACAAATAACTTAGTTGTCTGTCAAATTTATTCTTGTTTGCGTCCTTTTGGAATTGCCATTAAGGTATGTACTGGCAATGCCCCCTTTGATTCATGTTCCTCTGCTGTCTTGCTATGTAGGAAGTCTTTAACTGTTAATTTGACTCGAATCGCTTAGGTGTCTTGATATGTATGAACCATTGAATTATGTTTGGTACATAAAAAAGGGAATGTTCCATATAGCTGATATAGAGATGACATTATTTGATGTTCCATATAACTGACGATAATCTATGGTTGGCGTTTGTATTCCCTTGCTAAGTTCCAAGGCATCCTTTTGTTGACTATCCAGGATGAACCTCAGGCTGGGCAGACAGTTCCTCATGTGCACATTTTCATTCTACCTAGGAAAAAGGGAGATTTCGAGAAAAATGATGAGATCCATTATGCCGTAAGTGATAGTCTTATTTTAATATGAAAAGATTATTTCAGTGAATGTTGTACTAAATTATCTTCTTATTGGTCTGCTATTAGATTGATTTGAAAGAGAAGGAACTCAAGGAGAAGCTCGACTTGGACAGAGAAAGGAGGGACAGAACACCAGAGGAAATGGACCTAGAGGCCGATGAGTATCGAGCTCTATTCTCATAGATAATGTACCTACCATGTTCAATCTTCTACACTACAATGCATATAAAACATTGAGTCAGGCTGACTGCTGCTTTGAGCTTAAGAATTCTCTAGTGTTTATTCCTTTTGTGATTCGCATGGTTGTTTGCTGCTTTCAATTGTCCATGCTACTCCCTCTGCATGATGGATCTCATCTTCACCGACTTCTGAAAAATCAATGAAGGTATTTCATATTTTTTTTGTCTAGCATCGCTATATAAAGAATTTGTCTTTTCCATGGATATAGGTAGGGATTTGACTTACTTTTACGTTGGTTATTTTTTATGCTTTTGGTTGTTGATCTCTATATATTTTGATTTTGAAAGTTTTCTTTTCCTTCTTTGCAAGTGGTATCAGAGTCCAAAAACCTAGTGGTCAAAAATTCAAGAAGCATAAGTGAAGGAGAATGAAGTAAAAATATCCCTTGATAAAATACTCATCAAAGGAGAGAGAGATTGTTCAAATTAACAAGTATTTTGAGATTTCTAAAATTAGTATTCAGGTAGTATAATGAATCATAGTATAAAAAGGTGTTATCATGAGAAAAAAAATCTTGATAAGTAGGGTTTGATTTTTCTATAAATATCTCATGTATTTTTAGGTTTTGATGGGGGAAAGACAAGATGTGAGAAATATTTTTGGTATTCCTAGACACAAAAAAATTTATGTTTCAGTGGGGATAACATAAGGTCTTATAATTGAAGATGAAAATTTTAAGTTTTTTTAAAAAATATAGATAAAAATGTATATAATCATATGAATCTTAAATTATTTTTTTAATATTTTTTATTGTTCATCTCTTTAGATTTTTTATTTTTATTTTAAAAATCTTCTCTCCCTCCCAAAATAAAAAAAATTTGGATCATCAATTCTTTTAACCATCCCTTCAATCTTTTGTCCCCTGCATCATCGATTGTTGATTGTTCATTATTATTATATTTTATTCTCCCACTTTTATTCTTATATTTTTTAAGTTTTTATGTTTGATTTTTTATCATCATTTATGAAGTCATTTTATTTTAGCATATTTTCATTCTTTTATCATCTTACATGAGACATTGTCAGCCCGTTTTTCTATCATCCAACTCATGTTCATCGGAGCTCTCTGTAGCTTTCTCATAATAGATTTTTGTTGTCTGATTTAGAATCAATTGAAGTGTATTTCAAAATTCAACACAGGTTGAGATGTTAGTGTTTGGGTGATTCAAGCTGAAACCTTAATCTACGTAGGGATATACCCGATAAAAAGCCTCTGTAATGCTTAACTTAGTGTGGATTCAAAGAATTTTAATGGAAAAGATGATTAATAAAAGTAAGAGCCTCTCAATGAACATAATTGACCATTATATAGAAATCATGACAAATGTGAGAGAAGAGTTGCTTAAATCGAATCGAAAAGCTGAATTGAACCGAAACCGAACGTGAACCAAATCGGTTCGATCCAAATCGATTCATCAATGATTTGGTTCAGGTAGCTTCTTTGGTTGGGTTAATCGATTCAAACTGAATTGAATCGATTTTAATTATACATATATATATATATATATATATATTATAAATTTGAAATATATATATATTATAAATTATTTGAATATATATATATATATATATTATAAATTATTTAAAATTAGAAATTAGTTAACCGGTTAGTCAAACATGATGAATCGGTTTCGAATCAATTCGATTAGGTAATTCTGAAAAAATGATTCAATTTAATTCGATTTTAGTTCAAATCAATTTAAATACATGCATCATTCGACTGTCAATGATTCATTAATTGAATCTGTGGACGTCGAGTGACAAATCCATGGTACCAAACTAAGGCGTCACATGACTAATCATTCCTATAGGACTTAAGTAAAGTTGATGTTGGCCGAACGAGAGTAGCGTATCGAGAGTTCCATACATGCCATGCCCACATACTAATTTTACATCAAAAAAATATTTTCAAATAATGTATTCTTTTTATTATATAAATAAAATGCATGTATGTATAGAATTGTTTTAGTGACACTCTACAGAACACGTAATCCCAGTGAATCAGTAGGATCCACGTTTGGTCCCATTTGGTAACTATGTTGCAGGTGAGTTGAACCAGAGTCATTTTAGGGGGGCCCCAATCTCCTCAAGATTTGGTGATGCCGCTCCTATCAATTTTGTAATGCAACATTCGATTTAAGCTGCAGCAGAACCCAACTGAAACAACAAACAACGACGACGGTTTAATTCCCTCACTGTATCTATTCATATACCATACACACTAAATTAAGCCACCAGATGACATGATATCGTTGTCGGTGTTCGATTTTGGGAGGGTTTTGGACAAAGCAAAACGAGTGTGGAGGGTTTTGGACAACGGAAGCCGAGGCATGGATGCGATCGCCGAGAGGAGGAGAGAGGAGGGCGGGGGATTGTACGAGTAAGGAAAGGAGGCGACCAGATGAGCAATTCGGGCGTCTGATATACCTACCTTCTCTCATTTTTCTTCTTCGAATGGCGACGCGCAATCCTTTCCCGGACGGGAAAACCGTGTTTTTGACGATCTATGCTGCGGTTGTTGCCAGCGTCGTATTTTCTGCTCTTGTCATTCTCTCCTCCTTCTACACCTCACCCGCTGCCGGCGTCGGCGACGGAGTAACGTCGCTCTTCTCGTTGTCTTCTCCTCCCTCAACATCTCCTCCTCCTCCATCGCCGATAGGTAACTGGTCAAATACTTCTTCTTTTTCTTCTTCAATCAGCGCGTTCTTGTTTTTTCGATGCTGTCTTTATGTGTGTATCTTTGTTACGCAATATAAGGATAGTCTTGATTCTGCTCATAGCTTTTCTTCTTTTTATGGTTCATTGCTCCTCGATTCCCAAGTGCGCAGATCTGTTTTGTCCCTCTTCGTATCATGCTTTGAGCACCAATTTGTTCGTCTCTCGGTCTAAGTTTGGTGATATGACGGCTTAGGAATGTTACTAAAGAGTCTCTTCAACATGCTGAATTGGCAAAGAAGAAAATAAATATATGGTCTAGTAAATGAATCAAAAATCACAAAAACTTTGCCTTCACTACTGGCTACAATTCTAGTTCCAACTGAAGATGAAAGTCTGCAGGGCACGTAAAATGTGAGGAAACGGTCGTTTAGTTACTTCTACCGTTTCTGTAACAAATACTCTTGAAATACAAGCATAGATTTCTGCGAACCCATGAATGGATCTTCAGTGGCTTGATTGACTATGTGCTCAATAAGAAATCACGTCCCCTGAAATGTCCCTGTTGTTGCTAAGCATCACTCTAAAGAGTGAATGTTCTACAGTTGCCAATTTTTTGCTTATTCAATGGGTTTCAGATGCTCTTATGATCAAGATATGTTGTTAATTTACAATGAAAAGCACTTGATTAAATTAGTACAAAATTAATAATTTCTGCTACCTCTACTTTGATTGTCACCATTCTATTGAAGCTGTTTTGTTGTCAAAAGAAAGGCTGAAGAGGAGCTATGCTGTAATTAGATGTTAGGCTCTTATTAGATTTGTTGTAGCATACTAATTTTGAATTATTATGCCTTTTCAGTAGCAATCTGAGTAAACCAAAGAAAGTTTTTTTTTTTTGACAGTAACTAGAACACCTAAGCTGCAAAGAGAGCCTTC